AATTAAATTTGAATTTAATTTGTGTTTGAGCAAATTTTGAGTTTTACAAACTTATAAAGTATATAATGCCTTGCTGTGTTATACGTTCCTGCTCTAGCGATAGACGCTTTTGTGAAAAATCGACTGGAATAACGTTTCATAGGTTAGTATCAAAATTATAAATATTATACAGGACAGTATTATCGTTGTATGAAGATAATAAATATCATACAACGGTATTATGACAGGTTTGTATAAAATGTGTAAAAGTATGTTTTTAAAAATGCAAAAAAAATCATCTATCAACTGCTGTGCCTACCTATTTTGGAATAATACTTTTTCATATGAAATAATATTTATAGATTTCCAAAAATCCTATAAAACGTAGCGCGTGGATACAGTTTGTCAACAAGTATAATTGGTAACCTTCTAAATTCAGCAGTATATGTCTCAAGCATTTTCTTGAGAAGTACATTAATCGTACGCCATTTGGTTTATCAAATTTAATTTATAGGCATTTTATATTCTTATTTCTATTTAAATATAACCTACATTTGCTGTCCTTCCACCAATTTTATTTATTAGTTCTACAGCTGATTGAAAAGTAGAGCTTCATGTTTTGTGTATGCGTGAGTATTGTTTGTTTTATTATAGTTAATTTAAAACAATATTAATATACCTTTTTAATTACCTATAATTTGTTTCAGATTAGTGTGTTTAAAGGAATTGGTGAAAATGAAGTGATTCGCCAACTTTGGCGATGTGTCAGAAAAGTGACATCAAAGTTATTCAACGTTTCCAGAATAAAGCATTAAGGAACATCATCAATGCACCCTGGTACTGCCACAATACTGATCTTCATAGGGACCTTAAAGTGGAGATTGTTGAAAATACAATACAAAAATTTGCCAGTAGTCACTAACAACAACTGCTCCAATGGAAACCTCGAGATTATCCAGCTCCTCAACAAAGCCAAATCTAATAAGAAGACTCAAAAGACCAAGCCTTTTGAGTTAGTTCAGTGATGTTAAAGCATAGTATAGTGCAGTTAAGTGATTTAGACTCTAAGGTATACTAGAGAGTAGAATATCAGTTTGTGAAGTTTTTCATCCCTTGATAAGTTAGAATAAAATTTCTAATTGATCCTAATGATTAGATTGTAACAATCGTAAATGTTTCTTTACTTGGGGCATTTATTAAAAAAAACTTTGTTTCAGATTAGTGCATTTAAAGGACTTTGTGGAAATGAAGTGATTCCCCTTTATATTTTATGAAATAATGTTTTAAAAATCAATATTTGAGTTTTGTGTATTTTAAATAGAAATGTATATTCATAAATGTCTTTTTTTAGTCTAATAGTATTTTAGAGAAAAAAAGCTAGAATACATTTCTGAAATATGACTATTTAATATCTCTAAAAGATTTAAAAATTTTATTTCATAAATATTACTGTGAAATATTATATTTACTGGACATTTTTACGTTTCAGGCACATTTCAGAAATGTTTCTGGGATGTTTCGTAATATTTATACATTACAAATGTTTCAATGTAATATTTTTGAAATATTTCTGAAATGTGTTTGTGCTGTATGGGAAAGTCCTCAAGAATAAATTAATATCGAACAACGCATTAAGATGGTGCTTCTCATTCTTTTATTCCTAGAGTGATAATCTCTGCTAATCGACTTAACATATCTCTCCCACAGAATTTAGTAGTTATGTTTAGATTTTTCATTATTATTAATAATTAATATGTACATATTTTTAATTAATTTACCTATTATTATTTAGGATTTTATTATTATTTAATTACTGTATAATGTATTCTGTATTATTGTATTGTTTTAATGGGCTCTGGCCCATACATAAATAATATACCTCCATCAAAAATAAAAAAAGTATTTTCTGTTGTACGAATTTGAACACTAATAAATACTTTCAAGTCAGTTAATAGTTTTTAAAACACTTTAACATTTAAACATTATAAATTCATAATTATATTTAATTTTGTTGATATTAAAATATTATTGATCTGTTTATCAACAATAATTATAAACGCCAGTTGGCTACTCAGTACTACACTTGTCAACTACGTTTCCTTTTTATGATAAATTTAAATTAATAATATGCCAAAATAGTGTACCATTAATGATTTTGTCATGAATATTCGCGAGCTCTTGTATGGAGTATCGGTGACGATTTCCATACCGACAAGTTCCAAGGCACCAAACAGTGCTGTGTTTCGACATATTCGAACACATGGCATATTATGTTAATATATCTTTTGATATTTAAACTCTTGTAGCTTGGTAACCATGCAGAATTGGATATTTGTTCATAGGACATTTTATGCTTGAAATGAATTCAGAAATATGATATTTAAGTTTGTATAGTGCATATAAGTTCTTATAATAACAAATATTTAACATCAATACTCACTTAGTTTTTTTTTAATGAGACTAGCAACAAAACCATAACCGTTTGTCTAGTATTAAAAATAAATATCACTCCTAGATATGGATAAGAAAATATTAAAACTTTATTCCTTGTACACTTTTATTTAATCACAGCACACATTATTTGCATTTACAATATTTGCTTGACGTTCATATGCCCCAGTCTATTTTGTTCACCTTTTCTAGTGGCTTTTTCTGCTAAACTTTAGTCCCCATTCTACCTTCACCTAAGTAATGAATTATTCAACCATTTAGTCAACAACGGGGTCTTACTTGTTTTACAGTAAGATACTTATCTTTAATGTTCAAGTTTTAGAATTTGAACTTGGATTAGGCTATTTTCGTCAATTTTGTTCTTAGAGCTTTTGTAAAAACACTTGGGAAGTACTCTCACAAATTTATTTCTTATTTTGCCTAGCGAAGAAATTGTGTATTAGGAAATATTCTGGTTTTTACCTTAGTGGTCAAGAAAAGCGCTTATAGTGGATACTTTTCCTAACTCGATAAACATTTATTACCTAGATGTTGGCCTCCCTTTATCACCAGCCTACAATTTCAACTCTTTTGCTAATAACTTTAACTTCATCTGTTACTTTAACTATGATTGAGACTTCAACTTTATCTTCACATTGACTTTCAATCATATATGCATGATTATTGTGCATAGACCAATTAAATTGGACCGGCACGTTTGTGGTGCATGTTGTGTGTTACTACGGTATGCCTTTATATAAGTAGCCATAATCTCTGCAGATAATGAGAAGCCTAGCTCAAACCAACTACCATAATATCATCATTGGATCTATAGGTCTCAAGCACACCGCTGGTTGTGGCTTCGCTGATTTACTAAATGTCTTGCATGAAGATATACACCTTTCAGTCTGAATCTACAAAAGTACCAAGACCAAGTAAGATTAATCCACATTTTGATTTCCTGAATAGTGCATCTACCTACACAGAGATTGCTTATTAGCCATTTTCCGCAAGCCTTGCATTAAGTTTCGTATCTGATTATCGAGCTTTTAGCGTATGAACATTTTTTCTTAATTTCGAGAAAGCTGTTAATTAAAGTAAGGTTGGATAATAATAATAATAATAATAATAATAATAATAATAATAATAATAATAATAATAATAATAATATATAATAATAATACTCTCCCTAATTCACCCCCTTACGAGTGAATTTCAACCCCTGAAGTCGACTGAACGACTTGTGTAGGGGAAGGGACGGCTATTATTATTATTTGCCGTGGCACTCCGGGGCGACTTAAAGATGATTGATGGTGCCATTTGACTTACAGGTGAGGAAAACCCGGAAAACCTCACCCACCATCATCGAGACGGTAATGTATGGCGAATTTTTTTAATCTGCATGTCATATCAACAGAAATTGAATTTCTATTAATACGCCACACATCAAATCCTAAACCGAACCATGCAATTTAATTAAAAATCCACATGGTCTGGTCTGGGATTCGAAACCCAGCAGTCTCAGACTCATAAACTTGCCTATAAATGAATATAAGCGCGATAGACCGATACACCACCGTCCCGATTACTTGACATTTGCGACCTTGTACTTTCCGATTTAAAGACAGAAAGCATTGGGCTCATAGAAAAACGAAAAACTAAAGATTGAGCTATTTATGTGCCCTAGTGCAAACGTGTGACGACTGATCCAATAAATCGAACTCTGTTTACTTTTGTCGCCTATGTGAACCAAAAATGTATTATTTATTTTTTCTGTGAATGATTTCAACGCTTTAGGGTTAATTTTACCATTGTGTTAAAGTTTAAACTATTAATTGAAGATTAAAATTACATTTTATGTAAAAATGTCATTTTAAACTTCGTTAAACCCAATGGTGTTATATCATGGTCATTGATTAGTTACAATTTTGCAAATAATAGGTATATTCTCCAGCGCTTAATAGCCACTTGAGTGATAATTAAATCAGTTATATTTTATTTCTTTCATTTACTTTATTCAGCACCTCTCGGCTGAAAACCGGGCATATTTAAGCTTTTAAATCCCCTCCTTTTATAACCTCGGCCTTCCACCACCTTTTAAGTCTATGTCAATAAAAAGGAAAATAATTTTTTTATAATCCAAATAATAATACTTAATACTTAACCAGAAATAGTAAAATAAAAACTTGTAAATCCGGTTCTGCTCTTCCGCCATTTTAGTGAGTGCAAAAGCCACGCCTACCGGTCCCACTTTTGTATATCAAAAATAATATATATGACGTATCCTTACGTTGCCTTATCAATGATAAACCCAAAATAATGTAACTGTCCTATTTGACAGATCTGATACTAAAATTCTCATAAAAGTTACTAAGAATGACAGTTTTAATTAAATTTCTTGTTTTACCAGGTCATATGTGGGAGACGAGTTAGAAACCGTCTAGAACACCGTAAACGGTAAACAGTAAAATTAAGTAAATGGTTTCCTTATTTTAAATACACTCCTGTATCAACTTACCTTTGTTGATTTAAAAAAATATTTTACATAAAATGTAGAATGCCCGGATATAACACATTACTTAATTTTTCGCAAGCAATCTTACAACTACAATGATTACTTTTACTTTTATCATCTTTTTATTTTTTACCTCTATCAATCAGTCAATTCAAAACGTTGAATTAGCACAAAATAGGCAAAAATTGCAACAAGACAAAATTATCTGCGGAAGTGTGTTTACAGAAAAACTATTTTATTTACAATCTCCAGATTATCCAGAAAATTATCCATCGAACGTCAACTGCGAATATATTCTAAAAAATCCCGATGAGTGTCCCACGTACTTCAAATTAAATTTTCTCGTGTTTCGCCTGGAAAATTCAGTAGGATGTGATAGAGACAAGTTGATAATTCAAGATCAGGATGTCTTGTGTGGCAATGGTCCCGAAAATCCCGAGGGTAACGCTTATTTTTCGAATGACGGCACATTGAACGTGCGGTTCATCACTGATGGGAATGGAACTTCTTCGGGATTCAAGATTTTAGTCAATAGGACGGATTGCGAAAATGATATTAGAAGAACGACTACGGACGTTACTGAAACTGTGAGTAAAAAATAAATTATTATTTATAATTTAGGATTTTACAAATATTGAAAATGTTTTGTAAACTTCAGCAGAGTAAAAAACAACCCATTATTCTTTTCATTTTCTGTGACTTGAAAAACGTTTTTCGAAAACTTCGTTAAAAGTTTATTTAGCTGATTTGTACAGGGTGTCTGATTAAGTACTCTTAGAAACTATTTATCTATGAAAAGAGAAAATACTGGAATTTTTTTTTGTGTGTGTCATCGGCTTCAACTGCTAAGGTTATTTCGCCTCGTGTTCTGTGTAGGCTTTGTTACTGTTTCCCAGCGCCACTTTAGGAACAGCACTGTTAATTAGAACCCAACAGTGAATGGTCGAGTGGGGAATCCTACCAAGGCATCATTATCAAGTTTTTCCTTTAAATGTCTAATAATAGTATAATAGTAATAAAAGTACGGTGGTGATTTTGAGCAAATTTTACAAAAGTTTTATCCATTACTTCTTGCTCTATTCATTAAAATAACTGGTATTGGGAACATTTTAATAAAACTATTATAAATTCGGTAACGTTTTTCAGATTTTGAAAGAGTTAGTATTAGTAGAAGCAAATTGATTTTTTGTAAAATATTTCAATATATTTCTAATTTAGTGGTTTAAACGAGCACTAGATGGCGTCTTTTAAACAGTAACAATTTTTTCGAAGTATTCTTGAAAATTTTTAACGGAATGTTATAATTTTTATGCGTTATTTAGAAAGAGAATTCAATTCGACAAGAAACAGTAAAAACCGGGTCTAATTTTTTTTTCCTAGATATTAAGAAATAAAATTCTTTATATATTAATCTAGTTAGTGTATACGCCAGTAATTTTTCGATATCTTTGCTGCAGTGATTAACACAAAAAATTATTAAAATCAGATTTTAGTTAGTTACCTCTTTAATATAATTTTATTGGTTTAATTGCAAAATAAATATTGAATATAGTAATACAACAAAACAAACAACTAAAAACAGAACAAAATAGAAAATAAAATAATAATAGAGTAAATAAAAAAGATCTAATTCAACGAAAATAAAATGAAATACAAGAATTTAAGGTAGTGATCGAATTATTTTCCGTCTTTATCAATGCAAATATGAAGTCTCTCTCTAGTTTAATTGACAGCAGCTTCTATTTCAACACTAGAAATAAGATCAACTGGAGTTTGTATCCGTTGAATTTGATCTTCGCTACTTACAGGCTGAGTTTAGTAAACTAAATCTATAAGTCGACGACACAAATAAAAATCTAATACGCTAAGGTCAGGAGATCTTTATGGTCAAGGAAAAAAAATACCTCTTCCAATCCACCTATTCTGAAAACGTTGACTTAAAAATCTGATGTGTTCAACACATGACTTTCCTATCTAGTTATTACAGGCTTTTTTCGATTATTTTGTACAACCTATTATAGCACCTAATATTTAGAGGTTAACTTAATATATACATTTTACACATACATCTAACTCGAAACATTTATCAATATACACTTATTGCCAACGAAAATACCAAAAAAGTTAAATTTTATACTTTTACTCCAATTTTTCCATTACGGTATATTTTAGAGAAATCAGAAAAAAACAAAAATTATAGAGATCGATATCGCTAACATTTTTTAGTTTAACAATTTTCCTAAAAATCAGAATTTTTTACATTTTTAAAATTTCTTGAATACGGATCATTTTAGTAAAATTTTGTATAAAACAAAAATTAAGAAAATAATATAAGAAGTAATTTTTATTCTCTTCTCCAAACCTAAATATCAGATATATTTCATATAATACAAAAATGATCCCCTATAAAATACCCCCCAGATGTTTCGACTCTGCCCAAAATCTAATCAGTTCTCCTTAGGCCGGAATAAAGCTTAAGTTTAAAATTAAATGTGTTTTTATTTATCCATTTTTGAGTTTTCTTTAAAATTCGAAATTTACACTTCTCAAATATCTCAAATAATTATGTTTGGGACAAAAATTATGAAGAGAATTATATCACAAACAACTTTTATTTAAACAATTTTCATGAAAATTTGATTTTTTACATTTTTACATCTCGAATACGGACCATTTTAGGAAAATTTTGTGTCAAACCAAAATTATAGAGAATAATATTAGAAATAACTTTTATTTAAAGAATTTTCTTCTTCTAACGTAAATAAGATATATTTCATTAAAATTCAAAATGATCCCCTATAAAGTACCCCCCAGATGTTCCAACTCTGTTCAAAATCTAATCAGTTTACCTCAGGTCGAAATAATCATGCGGAATTGACTCTCTTACAGGTCACATAAAACCGTTCCTTAGAAAATCAGTCCTCTCTTACACTGTCGGGTTGTCGAGAAATATCGTTTTTCGTTTTATTTGTTTTTAATTAATTATACTATTCATTTTTATTTATTTTTACTTATTTTTACTTATTTTTATTTATTTTTATTTATTTTTATTTATTTTTATTTATTTTTATTTATTTTTATTTATTTTTATTTATTTTTATTTATTTTTATTTATTTTTATTTATTTTATTTTTATTTATTTTTATTTATTTTTATTTATTTTTATTTATTTTTATTTATTTTTATTTATTTTTATTTATTTTTATTTATTTTTATTTATTTTTATTTATTTTTATTTATTTTTATTTATTTTTATTTATTTTTATTTATTTTTATTTATTTTTATTTATTTTTATTTATTTTTATTTATTTTTATTTATTTTTATTTATTTTTATTTATTTTTATTTAGTTTTATTTATTTTTACTGCTTTTTATTTTTTCATTTGACAATCCATGAAATTTAAAATGTTTCATTATATTCTCCTTCAAAGAAAACGCATCACTAGCTAATATTACATAAGGAATTGGCTTATTCCTTTCAGGTTAGCAGATAGGTAAAGGTAAGTTCAGGCTCTTATTTTCCAATGCTGTTGCTAAAGGACTTCTTTGAAAAACCCCGCCATCACTTATACGACCATTTCTTCCAATGTCTACAATCAAAAAACGACAGTCTGCATCAACTACCACAAATTAAACAATGCTGTCTGTCCCCTTGTAGTTTCTATAGAATGAACCATCTTGCCTTAACGGCCTAAATCTCACGTGCTTCCCATCCATTGCACCAATGCAATTAGGAAATTGCCACTGAGTATTAAATTTTTCACTAATAGCTAACCAATCTTCTTCCGTTTCAGGTGCCTACAATATTAATCCCATTTTTTATTTGGACCTTATTATTTCAAATGTATACAAACCTTCAAGTACTTGTTTTCCAAATTTTTAATTACAAAAAAGTTCATCAAATTTCTAGAGGTGTTCAACGCCCAGACAGAGAACGCGCTACGTGTGACTAAGATAGCTATTGTACAGTCTGCTAAACAAGTTATTTTAAATAGTTTTTAATTTTTTAGGTAATTAAATTTTAAAAGTGTGGAATAGTTTAGGGATTAAATTGGTCTGATTGGACTTTCTTAAAACGTTTTTAAAAGCAGCTAAAGATAGTATGTAGAATTGAAAATAATTATTATGCCATAAAAGGTGTTTTGGAATTCCTTCAACCTTTTGAAATTCAGTCAGAAAAGATAAATTTTATAGGATAGCGGAAAATACCTATAATTTTTTTGTAGGCCTTTGTAAATCGTGGAAATAGTTTATATTTTATTTCTACCTTATTAAGGAAAATGGTACCTATTATTAATAACGGTTGTTTCTGAAACATTACTAAAATTTTCGAAATTTTGTTTTTCTACAAAATAATAAACTATACTATTTAGAAAAAAATTAATTTCTCTTAAAATTTTATAAAAAATAACAGGGGAATATTTACATTTCTTGATCTATTAAACAAAACGATAAATTATCTCGACGAATGACACCATGTTCTAGTACGGAAGCTAGCTTTACATTTTTGTTGGTGGTTTCATGGATTTCATATCAATTTTTTGTAATTGTAGTTTACACGTACATATACCTCTTAACACTTGTTTGCTTTATTAAAAAAGTGTGTTGTTGTGATTTACGTCGAAATAAGTCAAAAACAACTTGAACCCCCATATAAAATCAAAAAGGAGAAACGGAAAAAAATTGAGCCTGTAAATGAACACAACTCAGAAACAAAAATAGCTATCTAATAATAAAAAAATAAAATTTGATTCTTGTGCATCTTCGTTGTAAAAATAGATAATACTTTTTTGATCTTAGGTACAGATATAATTTTAATGGTCTTCCGAAAAACTTTCTTCAGTTTCCATATCAGATTCAAAATCAGTCTCACTGTCACTGTTTAAGTTAATTATAAATCTATCAGTTGCCTCATCCAAAGTAACTTCTCTGTCATAAAATTTAGATTCCCACATTTTAGCATTATTACAACGAGATTGCCACTCCTCTTTAGAAAACGTATCAAAAAAGTCTTCACACAACAGTTGTACGTCTTGCCTCTTAAATGTAGTGTTGTTACTAGCTACATATTGTTTCAATGATGCCCACACTAATTCTATCGGATTAAGATCGGGATGATACGGTGGCAAACGCAAACAACTAAAACCATGTTCATTTATTATTTCTTCAATTGCATACCTCTTAAATCGTGACTTATGCAATAGCACTAAACTGTATAATTGCGTTTTGAGCATATCCTCTTCGTAAGCAATATTATGATTCCTTAACCAATCCTGCATGTCAGCTTTTTTAGAAGTTGACGTTGATGCTTTATTTACCTGGACATTATGGTAAGGAGCATTATCAACAATAATGACGCTTCTTGGAGGGAGGTTCGGAAACAGCTTTTCTTTCAACCATTTAGAAAAATTATTAAAATTTATTTCATCGTGGTAGTCTCCACTTTTGGTTCCAGATTTGAAAATTAACCGGGCATTCGGAATAAAGCCCATTTCACCTCCTGCATGGACAATAATTAGTCTATCACCTTTATTAATTGGTTTCTTTAATCCCTCATTTGAATTATCACTCCAAGCTTTCTGGTGT